ACGGTCGAAAAACAACACTGAGCTTCAGCGCCGGCTGTGTGTCGGCGAATTTCAGTTGCAACTTTGACTTTCATAGCTGGATTTCCCCAGACAGATTTCGATACAAAGCTAGTTAATTTCTTTTTAAAATTAGTGTTATCTGTTATTCTAAAGGAATTACAGTCAAATTTTCTCATTTCTAGCTTTACGTTTATTTCAAAAATTGTCACATAAATAAGCTTGATAGTTATTTCATTTATTTAGTTTTAGCTTATTTTTTAGAGTCTTTTTAGTTGGTGTTTATAGTTGCAGCTATAGTTTTCCGTCAAAGTTTTTACCCTAATATTAAGAGCAAGTAGACGGATGCCATTCAGAATAACAACAAAAAACGTTTTGCAATTTACCTGAAGATGGAGAACGGTTGATTCAGCGAAAGAAAAACTCAAAGGCAAGTTTTTGTAAAAAATAGAACATGATTTGTTTACGCGCGGGCAGATGGCAGCATACATGAACTCGTACCGATGACTCAACCGAAGGCAAATGGAAATGTTTTCTTTTTGATTATGTTATAAAAGAAATGGTAAACGTTTCAGCTGTGCAACCATGGAGCTATGGATGCACTTGGGAGGTTTGCTAAGCACTCAAGAAGCTAGAGTCGCACTCGGCTATCGCCTCGTGCGACTCTTACGCTTCTTTCGTGCTTAGCAACCTCCCGCGTGCATCCATAACTCCATGGTTGCACGCTGCACGTTTACCATTTCTTAAATATGACCAAATTAATAGCGACGGTGCCTATTTGTGCTCCTGTCGACAGTAACTTTAGGGAATCAATTTCAAAAGTGCCCATGAAACATGTAATTTTGATATGTCCGCAGAGAGGGTGTGTATAGAATATTACGGTATATTTGTGCTTGCTTTTGTCGCCTGATACCAATGGAAACTAATCGATCCAACGTCTGGGGAATGACTCATAATAAACTAAAGTCGTACATAGGCATTTCTCACTTCAAATCCGTTTTGTTGCCTTTAACTACAGCTAACTGGTGTCCGCAATTTTTATGAAACTTCAGTTACCGATTTGTAGGCAGATCAAAAAAGGCATAGAAATAAATATAGCGAAATATTTGCATCGGGTATTTAACAGTTATTCCACGAGTGCGCGTTGGATATGAGATGGCCAAAGAAACGTGTCGCGCCGAGTTGACGATAATCATCTCATATCCAAAAAGCGCGAGTGGAATAATTGTTTTATTAAAAACGCCCACAAAATATCGAGAATTCTTCCCGACTTTATTTGTAAAATCAACCGATTTTCAGCTTGTTTTTAATTTTGAGCAGACGCGTACAGTTACCATATTTAAAGACCATGGTATAAAGGCTCATATACAATGATGGCTAAGCCAATCAGAGCTCTAAAATTGCAACAAATCAGACCAGCAGTTTATTTAACTACAAGATGTATTATTGAAGGGTAAAAAACCAAAATTTCGTTAACATATCTTTTATCTTTAAAAAGGTATGGCCTTTTTTATCAATATTATTAGAGTGATGTTTTGTACGGCTAGAAACAGGACAGTGTTGCATTACATATCTAGGTTTTGTTTTGTTTTTTGTTTTTTTGTTTTTTTTCAACTTAGTTTTCTTTAATTTGTTTAAAATGAAATCCGTGGCAGACTAAGGTCTGAGTCAGTTTAACATTTTAGTTAAGTTATTAGCTCAAGAAATGGAAAAGTCTAGTTATTCTGCCATGATGTATTTGGTCTGACCTAACAAAATATTGAGAATGTAAAATTTCTGTTTTGTTTTTAAAATTATTTCTTTAAAAAAGGCCGTCAGAAGAAACATAATTTTGCTAGATGTGTAGGAAAAAAGTGTGGTTGTCTTGTATATTATAGTTTGAAAACATGTGATCTAGTAGAAAATGAGTAATTATCAAATAAGTTTCGGTAACGGAAGTTGCAGGAGGAAGATAATATTTTAGGGGAGCTCCACCCGCGCGCGAAGCGCGCGCGTGGACGGAGCCCCATAGCTAAGGAAATGTGGTAATCTACCCATCCGAGAAAATTTGGTAATTACGTGACCGTACGCCCGACCGTCCGTCCGCACCACAGGGAAAACAATGTTTACTCTCACACTTTCTAGCTAGTTTGGGAGCCCAAGAGAACACTAATTGCACAATGTTGTGATCAACTGACAGCTGTCAAAAAAGGATATCCGCTGACCAGTATCACCTGACCGTACCGCGGGCTCAAATGTCGACCCATCGTGGTCAAGTACTTTTTTGAAGTTATCCGCTGACAAATTACCAGTTTCAAATGATCGCGGGCTCAAGTCTATTTTTTCCAATGATTTATATGAAATATGTTGTGTTTATGTCACTATGGCCCCTCACTGTCAAGATCTTGATTTCAAACTGACCCCGGACGCGAAAACTCAGGCAGGTTTTTAAAAATACAGGCGGAGAAGACCTTTTCTTACCATGGTCACGCGTTGGTCACGCTCTACGTCCGATTTTTGTACTCTGATTGGTCAAAATTTGACAGGTGAGTTCATGCGGAAAGTTTATGCAGCGTCTTGAAAGTTGTTTACTTTGACGGCTGAAGCTGACAGAGTTTTGTGTCAACTTGTGATGTTTTTAACTGTCTTTTTCCACTGGAAGTACAAAATGAAATACAGCTACTATCAAGAGTCTTCTGTTATCCATGGCTGGTTTGTTTATTGGGTTTTTGGTTGAGAAATGCGTCGCTTGTCAAAATTGGGTACTAGTATTCCGATTTCGGATGGCATCGTTTTCGTTTTTCACCTTGCTTAATGCGTAAGATCCTTGATATCTTTCAGGAACTGAATCTCGAATGGTAAGCCTGAGTAATTATTGTATTTGATGTTTGTTTTTGTTATATCTAATTTCATGAAGTCGAGCACAGTTTATGCGGCAAGTTTTTGCACGTTTGTAAGATTTGAGTCAATGATCTGACCTAGTATCAGGTTTGATTTAAGCTTACAGAACTTTAAAAGGCCTTCAGATATATTTTCTCACGGCAAATAGGAAGAAAACGTTCCGAAGAATATTTAGTTATAAATTTGGCTGTAGAAAGAAACTTTGAGCGATTTTCTTGCTTCGAGGAGTTCATCTTTGAAAAAGG